AGAGGGTTATAAAGTAAGAGGTATAGTTTATGGGGATATTTGGGGAAGATAATGGTTAACCTTAGACATGAACAGGTTAACATTGTAGTTATCGGAAATTTATATTCAAACAATAAGTATTCGTTCAATCAAGTTTGATTAAGTTTGACAACTTTTATCAAACTCCTTATTTGAAGGTTGAAAAAATATGATAAAATATTGAACAAGCAAAACTTGTGTATATATATATATATATATATATATATATATATATATATATATATATATATTTAAAAATTCCACATATGGATTTTTTTAAAATATATATTATGCTTTATTTTCCATATGTTTCCTACACGGGTTTCCGGTCTCGCGACCTTCATCAGGCAGAGAATGGCTATTTCCACATACTATTAAAATGAATTAAGTTTCCTTATGATTTTCGTTGCTTAACCATTGTCTTCTTTCTGTAGTTGTCAACTAAGTGCTTTCTCTCTCTCTCTCTCTCTCTCTCTCTCTCTCTCTCTTTTATATATATATATATATATATATATATATATATATATACACACGTGGCATGTCAGGGGTTGCCCGTGCTTCATTCAAAATCGTACGACTCATACAGCAATCACTATCACTTGACTTAAAATATTTTTTTGCCCTCCTTACCTTTAAAGGAGTGCCCTTTGCCGTGCTGATGTTGCTACATGCCTTACTTCTTGCCTATCTCACACTGCGAATTTTCTAAGCTCTATACTAAACATTAAATCTGTTACGAAAAAAGAACTAAACAAAATGAACACAAAACGATCAGCTTTAAAAAAGGACTCGTAACGAGAATGTTAACAACAAATACTTATTCACACCCAACCCAGTTCTGCGGAAACAGAATCAACGTTGAATTTAAGCCAGCGAATGAGCCAATTGGAGTAAAGTGCCATACAGATTTAAATTTTTCAAACGTGTGACGAATGCAGCTATCAATATTTTATTTTGCATGCTAGCACGCTAGTTAACAGTCGTGTCAGTCAGCTGTTGGCTCTCACGCTGGCCAATAGAATCTTCCTGCCTATTCGTGGCAGCCAGCTATTGGCTCTCACTCTGGCCAGTAGAAAATGGCCGCAAACTACATGAAAACTGCCGTAGAAGCATGAAAAAATCGATTATTTCCACTATAGATGGGAGTCGGGAAATGCAAAGTCGGTCTTGGCCTTCGCGCTAACTTGGAGCATGTGCATGTAAATTTTTGGTCCAAATCCGTCCGTGCATTCGTTACACACACACACACACATCCTGCCTTTTATATATATATATATATTCTATATATATATATATATATATATATATATATATATATATATATATTCTAATACATATATATATATAGAGAGAGAGATTTGAATGATAGGGTGTGGCATAAATAATAGTCAATAATAATACATCATAAAAATATTTATACAATGAATGAATTGAAGTTTATATTTCAGAAAATGTCTCAGATGGCTGAAAATGAATTTCGGAAATTTGCTAAGTCACCATTGTTCCTTCTCGTTTTGTTTTTTTATACGAGTTCCTTATTACTTCAGCCCTACCCCCTCTATCTCTCTTCCCGTCCGCTCTCACTCTTCCCCTCCTCTCCTCTCTCCCCCCTCTCTCTTCCCCCCTCTCTCTCTTCCCCCCTCTCTCTCTTCCCCCCTCTCTCTCTCTCCTCCCCTCTCTCTCCCCCTCTCCTTCTTCCCTCCTCTATCTCTCTTCCCCCTCTCTCTCTGTCTGTATATATGTGTGTGTGTGTGTGTACGCAAACATACATGCATAAACATATTGAAATAAATATGCATATTTATATATGCATGTGTGCATATAAATACATACAAACATATACACACAAATACATACACACACACACACATATATATATTATGTGTGTTCACATATATATATATATATATAATGTGTGTGTGTGTGTGTTTGTATGTGTGTGTGTGTGTGTGTATTTTCTGGTCTCCTTAGGGATTTGAACACTTTACGGTTTATCTTAGTTACTCGATTGGATTTTTTTCTTTGGACTTGAATTTAAGGTACTGGACGATTTTTTTTCTCCCTGGTCAGATGTTTCTAGTTCTTTCTATCTTTCTTTTTTTTTCTTTTTTTTTTCCAGGTACCAATTTGCTTCGATATATTTATATTTGCGTCATCTGTTTTTTTTTCATCAACCGAGTTTGGTTACTAATATAATACTACTACTAATAGTAATAATAGTAATATATATATATATGTGTGTGTGTGTTTCATTAATGACGACAGACAAGGTACTGCAATTAAGCTTTTTATTTAATTTTTCTTGTGTTTGAACAAGTGTTTTCTTTTTTGGACACAGAGTGGGTATAAACTGTTCAAACGTTCTGTAGTCCCGAGCGCTTTCGGCTATACTTTTAGCCATTATCAAGGATGATTTTTAACATTTTTAACTGGATGTATTGGTTGCGTGTATGTATCTAGAGTTATAGACATGTTTTATTTTATGAACACAATCAGCACATTGTGGCCGTGTTCGTAGTTAATATTATTCAGTTATTTTTTACCTTTTTGTTATTAAGGCTTTCATTATTTTCAATTTTTTTGTTCGAACACAAGCACAAAAAAAATTAAATAAAAAAACTTAATCTCAGTACCTTGTCTGTCATCTTTAATGCAACATGTATAAATTAGGTATTTCTGACTAAATACACAATATATATATAAACACAATTATATATATATATACACAATCATAAATATATATAAAAACAATTATAAATATATATATATACACGCACGCACACACACATACACACACATATATATATATATATATATATATATATATATATATATATATATATATATGCAGAATCTTTCTCTAGTAGGACTTCTCAAACTAGGCCGGTTGATATTAATTTCAATGTTTATGAAAATAGATATCATGGCAACATATAATATATATATATATATATATATATATATATATATATATATATATATATATATATATATATATATATTTCGATTGCGTCTAGCATAAAAACAGCCTCTGAGTGTTGACTTGAATGTTCACTTTTATATTTACATACGCTCTATCTCTTATATTGAGCACTTTATCCCATAAATACATCACACCTAAAACTATATTTCTTCATTCATATATATATATATATATATATATATATATATATATATTATATTATTGCATTACACCCCTCAGCAAGGCGTGGAATAGGATGCAGCGGGTTGCAGAAGATTTGGAGGAAGATCAGATAGGAGTGATAGAAGAAAGGATGAGGCGAAGGATAGTGGATAGATCAAGGCAACTGGAGATGTCGATTGACATTACATTTGAATAGTTGGAGATTATAGAGGGAAACTGGAATAGGGAAGGAGTTCCACAGGCGAGAGGTTGCGAGACATGAACAGTGAAAGAGACGGCTACATTTAGGAGACAGTGAAAGGGTGAGAGCGGGATGCCAGCCTCGTAGGGCGCTTGAACTTATGAAGTCTGGGAACCAGTGAAAGCAGCTCAGCGGAGCAGTTGCCATGAAAGTATTTGTAGAAAAGACAGAGAGAGGCGACGGCGCGTCTGTGAGAGAGTGACTGTAGACGAGATGTCAGATCAGGACTAATTATATTACATATCCGTCTCTGGATCTTGTCAAGAACTCCGAGGTAAACAGAAGGTGCCCCAGACCATATATGGCAGCAATACTCCATGCAATATATATATATATATATATATAAATGTATGTATGTATATGTCGTTATATATATATATATATATATATATATATATATATATATATATATATGTCGTTATTAATACTTAAAATAAAATCGTTAATTACTTACTTTTTGACTGAGTTTCGTAGAAAATCTTATCCAATATTAGGAAATTTGATTTTTGACCATTAGAAACGAGTTCGAATCTGACCATTGTAGGTTAGTAAGGGAAATGTTTTTCGATGTTATTATTCTAGAAAGATCGTCCCGGCATATAGCAGCATTGAAAAGCGCCTGAAAACCAAGCCACTGCATGACGTAAGCCTTGTGAGTGAAATTGGGTAGACGGAGATACTCAAAAGCCATCGATGCTTGTGCTTGTGCTAGCATGAAGTCACAAGTCATCGTGACCGAGGGTTTGATCGTATTGACTTTGTCCGAACTGCTGATCATGACTGATTATTCGTTCTCTCCCAAAAGCTTTAACTAAGGTCCGCTTAGTCTGCAAAGTTTTATTATAAACTACAGATTGTCTATATGGGTGTCGAACAAACACAAATGTACCTGAGGAAGCGTCTGCAATACGGATTGCTAGGGGACAGGTCTGCTCGGAAAAAGATTAGGAGAGATAGAAAAAAATCAAACCTTACCAAGAGTTAAAAAGACAGGAAGTTGTGGAGAGCAATGCTCGATCACGTTCTAAAGGGACACGGTACATCGAAGAAAAAAAATCATATATGTGCCATAAAAACAGCACGGTACTTCACTTATATGCGTCACTGAACAATTTTTCATTTTTAGATTTTCTTTTGAATCTTTTAGAAATTTTTTAGAATCTTTTAAAGTTTTTTAGAATTTTTTTTAGAATTTTTTAGAAATGTTTTTTAGATTATTTTTAGAATTTTTTAGATTTTTTTAGAATATTTTAGAGATTTTTTTAGTTTTTTAGAAATTTTTTAGATTTTTTAAAATTTTTAATTTTTTAGAATATTTTAAATAATTAGTTTTAGAAATTTTTTAGATTTTTTTTAGAATTTTTAATTTTTTTTTAGATTTTTAGAATTCTTTTAATATAGATTTTTTAGAATTTTTAAAAATTATTTTTAGAATTTTTTAGAATATTTTTTAGATTTTTTCAGAATTTTTTACAAATTTTTTTAGATATTTTTTGAATTTTTTTTAGATTTTTAGAATTTTTTTTAGAATTTCAATTATCACTTAATCCTATCTGAAACCATGAAACAATCAAATTCAAAATTATTTAAATTAAATTATATCAAATAAAATAAGGGCATATATTGAGAGAAAGAGAATTGAGACAGAAAAAAGAAAGGGCAAGAACGTGGGAGAGAGACAGAAAAGAGAAAAGAGAAAAGAGAAAAGGTGAGAGTGGAGAAGAGAGAGATAAATAGTAAGAGAGGGAATGTTGGAGAGAAAGATGAAAGTATATGAAGAGAAAAGGTTAAAAGGTTAGAAAGAAAGAAAGAAAGAAAGAGAAGAAAAGTAAGAATGAGAGAAACAGAGAAAGAGTGAAAAAGAATAAAAAGAGAAAAGATTTTTTTTAAAAAAAAAGCATAATGAATGAGAGAAAGAAAGGAAGAAAGAGTAGAAAACCAAGAAAAAGAGAACTACAGAATGAAGAAGAAGAAGAAAAGTAACCGAAAACTGAAAAGAAAATGGGAGAAAAACAGATAAAATTAAGGAAAACGAGACAGTGGACAAATTCAAAGCGAAAACAAAATAATAAAAAGAGAGAGGGTGAAAGGGGGAGAGAGGGGAAGAGAGAGGGAGAAAGATGGGGAGAGAGAGGGGGAGACAGAGAGAGGGAGAGAGGGGGAGAGAGAGGGGGAGAGAGGAATTGAAATTGTCGCCATGCAAAGCAAATGGCATACTTCTGAAAAGGAAACACCGAACTAGACTTGAGGAAAAAAGAAATTCTTTTCCCCTAAATTACTGGAAAATAAGGACGACTCTTTCCGTGAAATCTCTTCTTTGGAATTCTTATAAATAAATTCTCTGGTTATCCGTTTAAAGAACGGTGAAGAGGAAATTGTCTTTCCACAGACAGCACACACGCAAATAAGGCTGGAGCGTTATTCGCGTCTTCTAATTGGCCAATTTCCCTGGAAGGCTTTTCATTCACACTACGGAGTAAAGACCTTTACATTTAATCAAATTTATTTGAAGGCATTAACCTTGATTTTTATTGCATTTAATTTTATAATCTGTATAAAATTGGAATTTGGCACAAAACATGAAGATGTTACTGCAGAACATTTTCTTTTTAATTCTCCTGCTTTTACTCAAAGATTTTCCCAAATGTTAATGGTAATATCAGCCGTTTCCTTATAAGGAAAACATTCGGTATACATCGACTGAGCGTTACTCGAGTTATGCTGCTTTTCTTCACTCACTGGCAATCGAACTAAAATCAATGTGAAGTATCTGGCCTCGGGCGGATAGACTACATTTTATCACATAGTTGTGTCTTTGTCTTTGAACCGAGAGCAACTCACTTTTCTCTTTGACTTCCGATAGAGCATAAATCACATTTATCATTATCTTCGGACAGAGCACAAGTCGCTTGTCTCTTTGTTTTCGGAGAAAGCACAATTTACATGTGTCTTTTTCTTCGTACAAAGAGCAAGTCGCTTGTCTCTTTGTCTTCGGAAAGAGCACAAGTCGCTTGTCTGTTTGTTTTCGAAGAGTGCACAATTCCCATGTCCCTTTATCTTCGTACAAAGAAGAAGTCGCTTGTCTCATTGTCTTCGGAGAGAGCACAATTCACTTGTGGCTTTGTCTTCAGACAGAGCACAACTCATCTTTCACTTCGTTTTCGGACAGAGTGCAACTCATATCTGCCATTGTCTTCGGACAGAGCGCAACTCACATGTGCCATTGTCTTCGGACATAGCGCAACTCAGTTGTGTCCGTCTTTGAGCAGATCGCAACTGAAAATATGAAGAGGTGCCTAGAACAACTGCTCTTGGCAGTACCTCTCTAATTGCACTGAAGAGGAGAGGTCGCTAATAATGCCTATACCAGTGCAATCGACGGTTGTTGGAGCTGGGCTATTTTGGGACCTGGTCCGGGTACACACACCCGGACTTCCCACATTACAACTGACACTGTGTCACGTCCTGTCAGTGGGGTGATAAGTAAATATTTAGTGTAGTATCTGGTCTCGGGTGGATAAACTACATTTTGTCTCTAAGTTATGTTTCTGTTTTCTGACAGGGCGTAATTCAGTTGTGGCTTTGACTTCAGGACCAACGGAAGTACCTCCCTCATTGCCCTAAAGCGGGGGGATCGATAGTCATAATGATGCCAGTTCAGGGGATAGGCTATTTTTGCGGCGCGGGTGCACGTTCTTGGGATCCCTGCATTAAACTGACCTTATGTCACAATTCTGCCAGCGTGGGTGGCAAGTAAATACTAAGTGTAGTATCTGTTCTTCTCATCATCAATCGTACGGGGTTCATTGACCGAGCAGCTAGTGTCGGTTGAAATTATATAAAATCTTACTATTAAAACAATTTTTCAAGAAAATTGGTTTCTCAAGTCCAGTAGCTGTTACTGTTTTTTCCAGTGTTATAGAGGCTTTCCTTCCTAACCTTTTGTTCGAAGTAGTGTGGAATGTCAACATCTTGATTACGTCAATATTTCCCTTTCGTTTTTTTGTTGCTTTTGAACCAAGTTATGTTGCTCTCATTTCTTAGGCGATCATGTATCTTTCGATAGATGACTGACGAGGCAGATATTTTTCCACAATAGGTTACCTTTTCTTTCTGCAGTAGACCAGTTACCATCCAAGGCTATAGAATCATGTCTGTCTCTCCTGCTATTTAACCATAGCTGGGAGGAGAAGAAGAGGATTCATACTTTTCCCAAGGGTATTAGCACGTAAATGAACCTAATGGATTCAACTGGAAAGTCAGTCAGTTATGTGCCATGCGATCACGTATCTTTCGAAACATGACTGACGAGGCAGATTTTTTTCTCGCAGTAGGTTGTCAATTCTTTTTGCGGTAGACTAGTTGCCATCCACGTCTATAGAACCCGGTCTGTCCTGATATTTACCTATAGCTGGGGAGGAGAAGAAGAGGCTTCATAGCTTTCCCAAGGTTATTAGCACGTAAGTGAATGCAATGGAATCGACTGGAATTCGAACTCGACTCTCCGATTCCTCAATCTAAGCTGCTATCCATTACTCCACCGTGCCAAAACTATGATTATGTTTTTAACATAATCTCCTTCGAAATAGTCACCTTACACCGCAACACACCGGCGGTCCCAGCGTCACGGAATCCGGCCTGGAAGTCGTTTTCCGTAAGCCAGTCGAAGACCTCCTGCGATTCGCTCTGGATCTTGGAAGCGGTGTTAAAATGGAGACCTTTGAGCTGTATTTTCAGGCTGCAAAAGAGATGGAAGTCTGTAGGTACTGGATCAGGCGAATAGGGCGGGTGCGGAAGCTATACAATGTGGTTTTTAGCTCAGAACTCACGAGTGAGGAGAGTTCAGGGACAGGGATGCACTATCGCCGTGAAGAATCCAATTCTCTGCCCTCTACAGATCCGGTCGCTTTCGCCGAACGTCCTCCCACAAAACGCTTCAAAACATTGCAGTAGAACTATCGATTGACAATCTGGCCTTCAGGGGACGATTTGCTGGTGTCGAGAAAAAAAAAAAAAAAAAGAGCATGCTCTTGCATGATCACAAAAACACTAATTGCCCAATTTGCGAGATGAACACAACGATATCACTCGACATACAGGCGTGTGAAGTCATTAATAGCATTCACGTAAAACCGTGTGTTGCCATCCGTTGGCGCGTTAGAAGACTAGTCCGGAACGTTTTTGTTACCACCTCGTATGATTTTCAATCAGAGATGCAAGCCACGGATTAATGATGCCCAGCATGCGATCTACGAATTAATGATGTCAAATTCGAATGTGACACCGAAATCCGAAGTCGCATTGAAATAGCGAATTATACCTTCCAAATGCTAAACAACGTACTAAGAAACGGAAAATTTTCCTTTTTTATTTTTATTTTATTTCATCCTCCCCTTGACTTTTTTAATCGTAATGGGGATTCGAATCCAGTAGCCATATTGAATCTCCTTCACAAGGGTCTATCAACGGCAGCCATCAGCAATTCTCGTATAGTCAAACTTGTTTGACATTGTCTAACCAGTTTTTGCGTTGGCGTCTTCTACGTCCACTTTCGACGGTGCCTTGCTGTTGGTGTTGCACAGGCTGTCGTGGCCTGTAACGTGTCCCAACCACGTCATTTTTCTCCGTTTCACAGTTGAGTGAAGAGGTTCCTGATGACCCACAAAACTTTCAACCCTTTTCCCGCCCAAACTCATTGGTTTTATGTTCTCAATAGAAGATGCCAAGGAGTTTTCTCATGCATTTGTCCTCAAACGCTTGGATTCTTCTCTCTGTTTCTGCCAACCGTGTCCACGTTTCACGTCCATATAGGAGAATGGAGGCTACAAGCAGTCCGTTCTTCATTTGAAAGCTGATTTTGATCTTCCATATTCTTGCCAAATTGGTAATCACTGCTATAGCTGCGGCAATCCGTGTGCAGATTTTCACGCTGCAGGTACCAAGTAACTAAATAATAACAGCAATCAAATTTATTTGGTCAGTATAATGACTATCTACTAAGAAAGTTTGCTTTCCTGTGCCTTTTCTATAAATACTTTCATGGTAATTGTTCAGATGAACTCTTCACTATAATACCTAAACTTTATGAATTTATTTAAACTCCTCCAAATTGTCTATCAAGAGCAGCCATCAGCAATTCTGGTATAGTCATACTTGTCCATTGTTTGACATTGTTCAACCAGTTTTTACATTACCGTTCCCTCCTATGTTCAGCTTCAAAGATGCCTTGGTCTTCACTGGCTGTCATGCCTTATAACGTGTCCAAACCTCACTATTTTTCTCTGTTTGACAGTGGTAAGAAGAGATTCCTTAAAGCACAAGCTCATTCATTTTATGTTCCCAGTAGAAGATGCCAAGGAATTTTCTCAATGCATTTGTCCTCAAATGCTTGGATTCTTCTCCTTGCTTCTGCCAACAGTGTCCACGTTTCACATCCATATAATAGAATGAAGCCTACCAGCGGATTATACATTCTGTACATCGTTTGAAACCTAATTTTGCTCCTCCTTATTCTTGCCAATTTGGCAATCGCTGTCATGGCTGCGGCAATTCGTGTACAGATTCCCGATTTGTAGCTACCATCTTTAGACACTTTGGACATTTCCTCCAGTGAATTCCCATTCACGGTAATGTTGACAAATATGTGACTGTGTTATTCACCATTATTTTGGATTTCGAGGAGCTGACCTCCATGTACACATGGAGCTTACTATTACTATGACGTCAATGTCGTCTGCAAAAGGTAGACATGTTTACCACCAATGGAGGTTGAGGGTAGTTCAGAGTTTCTTTCATTAGAAAAAGTTTTCGTTAGAAAGAAAGAAAAGCACAGTGAAATATTATATAATATCAATCGTTCTATATGGCTGTGAATGCTGGATAATTTCCTCATAGACGTAGAAGAGTCTTTTGGCAACAGAGATGTAGTTCTACAGAATGTTGAGAATGTCTTGGATTGAGCATGTGATCAACGAGGAAGTTTCTAAGGAAAATGGAGACAAAAAGGACACTAATATTTAGAATCAGAAAGAGACAACTGTAATGTCTGGGATGCATAATGCAGAAATACGGCTTGGAGAAATTGACACTCATAAGGAAGGGGAACGGATGAAAACAGCAAACAAGATTGTGTAAATGGATAGCAGAATATGAAGTGGGAGGGATAGTAAAAAAAGAAATATTGCTAAGAGATACAACGAATAGGAAGTTGTGGAG